TGTAAAGCTCACATCATTGGCAAGACAGAAGATCTGCAGTATGTCATCAAATACCTGGTAAGAATTGTTGCATCACATAAATTAACACAACAGAGACTTGAGTCTTTCTATGGCCACGCAGATTGGCAGCAAAAAGTTGATGTGAAAGTAAAGCACAATTCATCTTACATACCTTTGGATAGTCAGTAGTGCTCCCCATGTCATCAGATAACTAGCGCAGATCATGTTGAACGTTTGTTCACAATTTAATGCAAATATGACTTTTAGCTCTGCAGAATCTAATTATTCCAATGTTTGATATCAACTCGAGTTTACATTATTTTATTAAAATAATCACCAATTATTTTGTGATTTCATTTGCAATTCTCTATTTGGAATGACTTAATTGAGAAAGGTTCTTTTTGTTAAACATCATCCAGTATATGCCAAAATTAAGAGAACCATAGTGAAATTCCATCATCTTGAACATGTACACTCATTGGCCAACGGAGCATAGATACAGTCTCCATGTGTTCCCAGAACTGAAAAGGAAGGTAAGTTGGGCAGTAGTTGTTGGAAATTGGTCTCTCAAATGAGGAAAAAAATATTCATAGTTGAGTATGATCTTTGCTCATACATTAGTGATTAACGAGATGGGAAACCGTGAGCACGTTTGAAAAAATATGGCAGAAATTTTCTCAGAGAGATACAATAAGGCGAAACCAAGTAAAACAATAGTGCTTTTATTGTTACAAAATTGTGCAGTTCTGGTAGTATACTGTATAAATGGAAGGGGGTGTCTGGTCGACCAGTAGGTGTTTTGATAAATGAGAATCGATCAAGGCGCTGCATTTTTCCCCACGACAAACATCAGCGATACACCCAATAAAAAAAATTTCTTTAGACCTAAATGCATTTTCATATTGGATCCATGTTGGACAATGTGTTTTGATAAATGAGAATCGATCAAGGCGCTGCATTTTTCCCCACGACAAACATCAGCGATACACCCAATAAAAAAAATTTCTTTAGACCTAAATGCATTTTCATATTGGATCCATGTTGGACAATGATTGGCAGAGCGAGGTTTGCAAGCCAGGACGATGTATTTTGTAAAATGTGTGCCTAGGGTGTGTGAGGTTTCATATTTATATGGGAATATTTTGTTTTCCAACAAAATTCACATATGCTTACTGGTCTATCAGACTTTCCCTTCTGTTGACAGAGCCGTTGACAGTGTACATTACTGGTCTATCAGACTTTCCCTTCTGTTGACAGAGCCGTTGACAGTGTAAATTTCCAGAAAAGTGTTTCTTGATGTCATCTGTTTAAATCTCTCTCAGGGAATTGTTTGTACACTTTTTTGAAACAACGTTCACATCTTTATGCATGGGGAAGGTAATACTCAACTAATAATAGCAAGAGACCCCTTTCCGACAACAAATGCCCAACATGTCTTCCTTTTCACTTCTAGGAGCACGCTGCAGCTTTAGCTATGCACCATGGACAGACAGCATGTATGCGTTCGATGCGCAAGAGTTTCAGTACTGTTACTCTTACTTCTGACACTTGCTGTGTAACTGAATTTTATTTTAGGATTCTGATGTCTACCCTGACCAACAGCGTGGCATCACTCTTCAGCTTCCTGTTGTCCAGTTCATCACAAATTTAGCAGAGTCGTCAGAAGATGGTAATACATTTGAATGTCTTGCTTTGTTTCAGTGGACTGTTGAACAAATCGAACTGAAATAGTTTTTTTTTTCCTAAAAATAACTATAATATATGTTCTTAAAATTTGCTTTGATGACTTGAGGGGTAAGCAGTAAATGAAGGCATGGAAATTGAGTTTAAAAATTATGTTCTTACAAATGATAATACGAATACATTTTGGTTATTTATTGAAATTTTACTGGATAATTCATATATCAGTATATTTATGTTATCTGCATTCAAATAATTCAATATGTGACAGATGTATTGGGGCAAAAATTTTACTTGACAGGTCAATAAATTTCTGTCCTGTGCTGTTCTTTTTTTTTTGTGTGCAAATATTGATAAGGGTTTATATTGTCACCTATATTTGGGCAAAGAGCTGGTCATTAGCCCTGATTAGAGTCTGCATGTTTTCCTCATGCAGGTGCCTACCAGCGCATGTTAGTCCTGAAGAATCTTGGCGTCCAGCGAATCTTGGAAGACTTATTGGCCAAATGTGAAAAATCAGATGCAAGGTTTGTACGATTCATTCAAATTATTGAAACGTTGGCAGTTTCCCTATTGTTATTCTGCATCATGTATGATATTGCCAATAACCCTAGGCTTCTACTGTGGCTAAGTAGCGGAGTGTTCTGAACTTGATGCTATTTGATAGTATCACCTTCAACAACTTTTGTTATTGATAGTTTAAATAAAACTCCTGCTCCATCGTTGTGCTATTTACAAATGGTATAATAAAGGTGCAGTGACTCTGTTATGTTTTAATTTTTAATGAATATAATGAGTAGGAAAAACTAAAGCAAACAAATTTTGATGTGAAACAAAAAAAGTTGAAATATTGTTTTAAAAAAATAACTGACATACCAGGTAATTTAATTAAATTCACCAGGAATACAATTCATTTACAGCTATATCTCTCTGCAGACATTTCATAAAAAATTAACATTTTCAGAAAATCAAATTCTTAAACAAGTCCTTTTAAAATAATAAAATAAAATTAATAGACATGACTCCCTTTTCACTTTAGCACATGTTTTGTTGACTAGAAAAAGCACAGGTAAATGTTGCAGTGACAAGTCATTTTTTGTAAAAATCACTTTTTGGAAAACTTTTTTTAAAAGAAAGCAAATTCTGTATTGTAATTATTGTGCATGCATATGGTATGAAAATGTACTCATTTGATAATTCTGTATATTCCTCAGCATCAACAGCCCTCTACTGCACAGCATCAACAATGCTCTTAAACAGTTCTCCTGATGCAGCAAATTGTCAATCTCATTTTAACTGGATCTCTTTGCATTTGATGTGTAGAAAAGCTATTTATTGACATGTGCTAATTAAACAACATTTTAAATTATTTAGTTTGTTTATTCTTGTGAAGTGGGCCATGTGTAAATATGAGTGAGAGGAGTAAATTGTTTGAAATTTTTTTTTTATTCAAACTTGGATCAAACAAAAAATGTCAACAAAAAGGAAATCCATAGGAACACACAAGTTTTAAAATTGTAACTACTCATTGTAATAATAAAAATAATAATTCCACAATCATTAGAACATACCTAACTTGATTGAATCATAGTAATAAATAGATCTGAGTCAAATATAGGGGTGCAAAATAAACAAAACAAAATCCAGTAAATAAAAAGTGTGTATAAAAAAATTCAAAAAACTTTATCAGCAACATTATCATTGAAAGTTAAATATAATCCTTACAAAAATCTCCATGTCTCAAGCAGTAGTATAATCAATACAAGCATAACATTAATAATAGTTTATTTGATCATTCCATTTTTTAATATTATCTTAAATGTTAAAATGATTAATGGAAATGCAAGGCCTAGAAATAAGAAGTACATCAATTTTAATAATTAGATTAGCTTGAAATTAAATTTGAGTTTTCTTTTAGAAACCTCCAAATATTTCAAATTGAATGGCATGATGGTTGTGGTTGTAATAATTACTAAAAACAAAAACAGGAATCAAACATAGCTAAATTAAATTATTCCTGATTTTGACTTATCTTATATTAGAGACTAATCTCTTAAAATATTTTGAAAAATATATTAAAGTGTATCTTTGGTATCCACATTTATCACAAAATGTCAGATCAATGTAGTGTATTTTAATTACAAAATGAAGAGGTTAAAGTTTTATTTGTTATGTTTTTAATATGGTACCGGTATCTTATAGTATTGTGCTTTTAAACAAAATTTTACTACCCTGATTGCACTCTATCCTTTTAACTTGTAAAAAGATTAAAGCTAATGACTTGGGTAGTTGTACACATAAGGTGTGATTGTGGAAAGAGTATGAGTGCAGCTCAAAAGTTATTAAACTCTCTGAAAATGTAAAGCCAAAAAAAAAAAGGAAAATTGACTGATTACAAGAGATAAGTGTTTTTCCCCATGAATTTTATGCAGATTTTAATATAATATAATTTAAACAAAAATCAATTTTAAGTCAGTCATTGCATAATAATTTCTAGATTCACTCTTTTGATTTTTTGCCACAAAATATTTGGCATAGCCACAATTTATTACCGGTATAGTTAAAGCTAGTGTGGGTTCGCTTTAATGCGAGGACCACTGTGATAAAACGAGTAAATAAATGCAAATCATACCTTCAAAAAGACTTAAATAATAAAACGCCTTGAATACAAGATTAAAAATCTTTTCTTCTTTTTTTTAAAATGACCAGAGAGATGTATATAAACATTAATAATTTATTGTAATGGTGCAGTCATTCAATGTAACCCAGGTCAACATCCAGTTTTCTTGTATACTTCTCAGTCTCATGTTAAATAATGAAAGACTGATGTAGCCATGGAGGGACATTGATTTTCATATCACAGTTGAGATTCATATTGATTAATGAAGGGAATGTTTACTCGTACACTTTTAGTTTAGAACTTAGGGAAGCAATCATGTAAAAAGAGTTGTTGCACTGAGGACAGGGGAGCTTCACAAGAACAAAACTTCCTTTTGGGTGTGAGAAACTGGGTGTAATAAAAAACAGGACCATATACCAACTACCTTGTATTGTAATAATATTATGTAACATTTATTTATAAAAAATCATACTTTAAAAGCCAGTGTTCCTATTGGGAGACCAAATTACTTGTCACTTCTTTTTAATGCTGTATATAAATTTATTCATTATATTTGGGTGAATCTAAACCCACAAGATTTTGTTAATTGTAAAAAACATTTGTTGCAATGGCTATGATAAATGCACTTTTTGTTTTACCAACTGTTAAAAAACTTCACACAATAGGTTATATATGAATATCGTGGTTTAAAAAAAAAAAATTATTGAGCAATATTTTTTTAAAAATCTGGTGGAAACTTTGCTCAAATTTTCATAAATTTATTTACCCGTACCAGTTCTAATCTAAAACTGATAAAATCAACCTTTAAATAAAGTTCACTGACAGCAAAAAAAATGTTGATGTACATTCTTAAAAATATGTAAAACATGCTCCTTAGGAATGTATAAAAAATGTAATATCTTTTCAATCTGTAAACAGAATAAATACAATTTACAAAGTCTTTGAAAATACTTCAATCACCAAAACTACATCTGCCACCAAAAAGAAATGGTTTTAAATGTTGAGCAATCAACCCAAACAGCAATTAACAAAAAAGGCACATTAAAAATAAACATGTCTGCCTTCGTGGACATTATTTAAACTACAATTTAGATTTGACCAACGACATCCCCTTTGATTTGATTAGTGACCGGCACAGATCAAAGGCTTGCTTCGGTGGGCTGGACATGGACAACATAACCAATTTACAGACTTTTGCCATGTGGTCAATGACATGGAAGGGAACAAACTTGTTGACGGGCATGTACACAACATGATCTATTAAATACCTGGCATTGAGAGGATAACGATCTTCAGGGGGAACAAAGTCGCAGACAATATTTGGCTGAGAGGGCAGGTCAACCTGATCTGGTTCTATGACATTGAGTTGGGTGGCCCCTCTGTATGCATCTACACCTAAAGCTCCAAGACATGTCATGAACAACTCAGGTTTTTCCTTTGGAAAATAAGTTACATTTAGAAAAGGCGAGATACTAGTAACTAGTTGATCTTTTTACTTCCTTAAGTTTACAAAAACTATATGATAGTGTTATAAAAAAAATGTAAAAAACATTTAACAGAGATAGAAACATTCATACACATGAAAATTGGATTAAAAGACTCACCACAACGACAGGAAATAACCAGAAATTGTTTATCTTGATTTTGGTGCCGATTACTTTTAAAGAAGTGGTCAAGTTTGACTGAAAGTAGCTGCACTTAATGCGCTGCAGATCAAAGCTGGCTGGGTTAAATGATGTCTGAACACCGGCCATAACAGAAAGGAGGGCAGAACTAGGCCTGTACCTAACATTATTTATAAGGTCATTGGGGAAACCTCTAAGGAAGCAGACAAAAGTGGCTTTCCAATCCATACCCATCTCTCTTGATTTCTGCATCAGTTGAGGGAATGGCCAGACTTGCAATGTTGTATACAAAGGGAAATACTTCAATAATTTCTTTAAATATGTTGCATTGCTTTGAATAGGGTATTTTAAGTAAAATTCATGCATTTGACGATAGAGCTCTTCCTCTCTAACCTTGATGATGTTGCCACCAAAAGAGGTGGAGAACTTGAAAACACCAAAGCTGAATAAGGCGAGATCTGAATCAGGATGACCAATGTGCACAAACCCAGAAAAACTTTCAGCACAATCCTAAATGATGTCAAGGTTGTAATATCTGGCTACACTTATGAAAGGATCCATGTTGACCTGTCGACCATACAGGTGGGCTACCAGTATGTCAACAGTGTTTCGGTTAATGAGCCGCTTCAAGAGAGGCAATTTGGGTTCTAGTGTATCAATGTTGTTGTCTAAAGGTACAACAGTAATTGATAATGTCTAATGATGCTCGCCATGTCCTGAATTTTAACAAAAAAACGAAACAAAATCAATTTTTACCAAACTAACTTACCCGAACAAGTTAGTACTTCGTTATCAACTCTTAATTTATATAGTTTTTAAAGAAAAGCTCAATAAATCTACAGGTTTGATTTTGATATACCGGTGAAATGAATAAAAAGTGGATCATTTAAAAACTGTTAACCGGTATTATTATTAAAATTGACAAAGAAAGCTGGAAGCTCTAAAAGATTTTTAAATACTTGTGAGGAATTTTGGGGTGGATAAATAAAAATGCTGCTGTAAGATAATAAAATATGGCAGTCAGCAACAAATTACTATGTTAAATTTGAACAATTAATGATAATTCATACTGATTTTGGCCGCATGCAATAGGTTTTGTGGCACCAGTACTACAATTTCTTACATTTTAGTAAATGCAGGTGCTGGTAAACCATGTAACTGTCAACAATCCTTTTGATTACTCTTTTATGATATCTATATACATAATTCGCCCGCAAAGGTCAAACACCACCACCACCACGCAGGCTATATATAGATACGCCAGAGTGTGGTTCAATAATGAGTTCACTAGCGTGCAAAATATAATTCTCGATAACTACGCTAAATGATATATATATATATATTTAATAACTCAATTGGGTTTGGTGCGTAATATTTTCTTTTCGGAAATGAAATTGTCTCAATTTAAGTATTGTGTAAAAAATATTTGGTTTAAAAGTGGTTAGAATGTGAGAATATATTTAGTTCATGGGTGTGAAATAAAAAGTGTGCAGTGACGTATCATGGGGGAAGGGGTGTAGCAAATATTGGGATTCTTAAATATGCGTTACTTGAGTTCATGTTTTGTCAAGTAACTTTACTACATGGTAAGTTAATGAATTGCTGTCGCCAAAGTTTGGCGGGCTTCTTCTAGTTATTCTTTATTTGAGCATTTCTTCTCTACCTTTTACAACAATATACTTACAGGAATATTAACAGCAGCCATAATGACTTCTGATCCTGTTGGAAAATTTTTCACCCGCATATACAAGTCCAAGCCTGTCTGAACACAAAGACATGGAATGTCTGGGTTTGGATTGGATGGTGTGTTCCACAATTGCTTAAGCGTGTTCTCATAATCCTCCCTGGCTTTGCTGCTATGATAAATAAGACACTGGCATGTTGCAAAACACAGCTGAGAGTAAGAGCTATCTGGAGAAAAATAATCAAGAAAAATATTTTTTTCAGTGCTGTGACAGTAACTTGTACTATAAGATAAGATATCAATCCAGTAATCTAATAATTCACCTCTCTCTACTCTTTTTGTGTGTATTGTATTCCTACAATAACACTTATCATGTGTAATACTACAGGACCTGGTCAAAAAATGGGGAGCAAAACTAAATATTTAATTGTCACAAAATCTTAAATTAAAAGTGTATTTTTGTGAATGTTAATTATAGGAATCTTGCATTTGAACCTACCAATGATGATTGCAGAGTAAGGCTGGCTCGGAAAGCTCATTTTACTGTTACTGCCCAGCTCTATGCACAGACTAGAGTTAATGCCTTTTTTTTATAAACTAACTCAGCATGCAGAGAGCTAAGATAAATAGACATAAAATAATAAAACAGTGCAAATAGACTTTCATTCATGAATTCTAACATCATTTCCATCAATTTATTTATAAACCATTAAAATGCACAAGACAATTAAATTAAGTCAAGACAGCGTATACGAATGTTTCCTAACGTGTGCCTTACGCCCCAAATAGAAGCAGTTTGAAGGTTATGGTAGGGAACAAATGGAAATGGCCTCAGACATTCACCTTAACTGAATATCCTGGTTTTTTTCAAATACTCGCCTCGGCAAACACTATTATTACTACCGAAGCAAATCCGTACATTCATTTGAAAATTAAACTTTGAAAGTTATTCACTACATTTGCATTCCTAAATATGGGTGGCTGGATTTCTATGCAGGGTAAACTGAGTCAATTTCCAACTTGTGGATTGGAGCTCAATCCCCACCAAAACCCAGAAAGAAAGAAAAAAACATCAGCTACTTAACAATAACTTTTTATCCATAAGATACGGGGTATAACATTAGCTGGGCACATATTCTAAAATGTTTACATCCTTCCCAAATGAATAATTTCATAAATCACAACTTTTAAATATAAATAGCTTGATTAAAGCCAGATTTTTGTCAAATTTTGATCTAAGTATTATTTATTAGAGATAATGATGTAATTAATTGTATTAATTAGTAATACAGATTCCT